CCAGAGAGTCTGCATTTCTAATCATCTCCCAGGTGATGTCAGTGCTGCTTTGGGTGAAGGCTCTAGATCAGGGATTTCCACAGCTGAATTCACAAGAAAGCCCCCTAGGTAACTCTGATATGCAGCAGGATTTTGGAACCGGAGCTATTGAAAACCTGGTTGAAGATTAATTAATGCAAGAACCAGAGGAATCAGTACAGTATTGAAGCTTCTTCAAGCAAAACGTTTTATTTCCAGTAGCATGTGGGAAAACATATTGTAGATGTCTCTATAAAATATCTAAAACGGCCATCAGAAATTTAGAATGTAATGTTTTTAATAAACCATAGAGTGCCTGTTTTAAAGATGTTGAAGTCCTGGAGTAACTAAAAAGGATAGTGAAATGAGTCAAACTGTAGACACAGTGACGCTTTTGTAGCTTCTTAATCATACTTTAAATTATTTGAGTAATAAATGTGGCCAGTGACTTCTTGATATTTAAGGAGCTATGATCAGTGTGTGTGTGTGTGTGTGTGTGTGTGTGTGTGTGTTAGAGAAGCCCTACTTTCACTGGGAATCCAGGGCCAAGAAAGGCTGATATTTCTTGTAATATATTCAGGAGGTGAAAATATGACAGCATTCAGGCACCTACCCACTTCCACTTTCACCAGAGTCTCCCTCTCATTGTTGTAGACTCCCTTACTCTTTAGGACTCAACAGATTTCATCTCTGCTGCATCCAATTTGCTCCTTTTACTAGAGTGTAATTAAATGCAAATACAAATCGCAACTATTGTCAGAATTCAAATGGGTTCTAATGAGAATTAATATTTTCCATTTGTGAAAGTACTGATTCAGAGCACATAATGAGGCAAAAATTCAAAATTAGGCAGAAGCCAGTTATTTCTCAAGCAGAAAGAGCTATATTTTATTCATCTTACAGAGATTAGAATTTTGCAATCCAGAATATCAGAGCTTTATGCTATAAATGATTTCCAGTTCCTCAACCAAATCTTACTCTCTGTAACAACAATTGTATATGTGAAT